AAAATCTGATGAAAACTGAATAAGGTCTGTAATTTAATTCAAAGTGGTGTTGTGGTTGTTGTTGTTTAATCACTCAGCCATGTCAGATTCTTTTGCAACTCTATGGGCTATAGATGGAGGGGGAAGCCTGGTGTGCTGCAGTCCATGGGGTCACAAAGAATCGGACACAACCAAGTGACTGAACTGAACTGAACTAAACTGATGGACTATAGCCCCCCAGGCTTCTCTGGGGGAGGAGTCCATAGGATTTCTCAGGCAAGAATACCAGAGGTTGCCATTTCCTTCTCCAAGGGATCTTCCTAACCCAGGGATCGAACCCACATTTCCTGCATTGCGGCTGGATTGTTTACCACTGAGCAACCAGAGAAGCCCCAAGAGTACTGTACCAATGTTAATTTCCTGCTCATTTACTACAGTCATACAAAATGTCCCTATGCGGAACCAGAAGAAGGGTTTTAGGGATTCTATACACAATTTTTACAACTTCTTGTGAGCTAATAATAATTTCAAAATCAAAGTTCTTTTTTAATTGGACAATGATTTCTAAATCAATATTTAGAAGTAAATTTATAATTTAAGCACATTTATCAAGAAACAGTAAGAATTATAAAATATGCTTGTGAATTAACTCAAGAAGTTATACAAGGAACAACAAAGCAACCTCCCCAAAAAGGAATAAAAATGATGACCAGAAATCAACGAAATTGATTAAAAAAAACTATTTACAAAAAACTATTACCAAAAACTAACATTCATTCTTTGACAATATTACTAAGATAATCCTCCAGGAAATCTACTCAAGAAAAAAAGAGAGATGCAAATAAAATGCAGAATGAAAAATAGAAACTAAAAGACATTATATGTTCTAAGAATAATAAAACTGTCATGAACAACTCCATATTTGGGACTTCCCTGGTGGTCCAGTGGTTGAGAATCTGCCTTCCAATGCAGAAGACATAGGTTTGATCTCTGGCTAGGGAACTAAGACCCCACATGCCTCAGAGCTACTGAGCCCATGCGCTCTAGTGCCCAAGCACTACAACTAGAGAGAAGCCACAAGACGAAGAACCCTCATGTCGCAATGAAGACCCAATGCAGACAAAAATAAATTTCTTAAAATATATATTTAAAAAACAAGCCTACACTTACAAACTTGAAATTTATATACTTTATAAGTGGATAAATTTCTAAAATAATATGAAATGCCAAAATGGTCATAAGAAGAATGTATGCAAAGTCTTAAACCAATAAGAATGAACAAAGATCTCAGGCAAATTGATTAGAAAAAGAGAGAAATTTAAGTAGAGAAATAGGCCAAGTATATGAAGAGGCAATTCTCAATTCTCAGAAAAGCAAACCAGAAAGGCTAACAAGCACATGAAGAAACACTCGTGCTCAACAATAATCATAGAAACGCAGTATATTCAAATGAGCATCTACCAGACTGACAAGAGGTCAGAAAGCTGGAAAAATATGAATGTTGGTAGGACTATGGGGCGGGAGAGGCCCTTGTGCATTGGTGCTCATGGGGTAGCTGTGGCCAGGGATAGGGTCCTCTCCTGGACCCTGAAGAATGGAGGCGCTAAGGGTTCTGATCAGTGTCTCAAGCCCAAAGTATCATTCATTGCAAGAAGTCTGGCAATACTTAGCCAAATTAGGTTACAAATAGCTATTTCTGGTATATCCTAGGTACACAAAACAGAGATTTCCACCTTCAACTACAAAAGAACACATAAAAGGATGTGCCAGTATGGTGGGGATAGTGAGATGAAGGCAACGTGGGCATCTCTCCCTGAGACCAAGTGAATACATAACACACAGGGGATGCATACCATGGAATAGCATGCACTAGTTAGAAGCAACTGGTTAGCTGTACACATCACGCACACATGGATGGATCATAAAAACACTGTGTTGATTATTTTTAATAATAAACAACTCAATGTCACTTGCATAAGTTAAAAACATCATGCACATAAAACACTGCACATCTTGCCAAGAACATACACAGACTAAAAGAGATATGCATGTGCCATCTGAAATGAGCACCTATGGGACAGTTAGGAAAGAAAAGTGGGGAACTGGGGATTACTGGAAATAAATAAAATGCAGTAGGTAATACAAAGTTCTTAAGATTTTGAACTCAAAGACAGACCAAGGTTGGAATCTTTACCTCTCCATTGACTAGCTGTGTGATCTTGTGCCTCTTATTGAACTCATTTATAAAACATATTAAAAATATATCTCATAGGCTCATTACTAATATTATTAGCATAAAGTTCCAGGCAAGTGCTAAGCTCTCCAAAATGTTGCCCCCCTGCCCCCCATCTCTCTCTCTCCACTATCTAAAAGATCAAGGTCAATCTCTTTAGCTGGCATTCAAGCCTCCCACATACAGGCCACCCTTCATCCCTCAGACGGGCCCCAAACAACCTTTCCAATTTTGTCTAGTACTGCTCCCCTGCACAGCAGTCCAGATAGACGTCACTGAATACCTGACACAGGATGCGTAACCCAGAAATCTGCCGCAAACCAAGAAGCCAAGACCAGCAGAAAAGATGGGACATGGGAAGGGGGGATGAAGGCAAAGGATCGAAGGAGTTGGACCAAGCAGGGGACAGGGCACACACCTGCCTGGAATGCAAAACCACAGGCCCCAGCAATCTCGGTACAAGCACGGACACAAAAAGAAAAGACTGGAATAAAATCCTCAAGGAAAAAGGGTTGTAGTGGTGGTCAGAGAAGACACTATTCCTACAAGAGAAACCACACTGAGGAGGAGGAGCAAATTAATGGAACGGAAACTTGCAGGGAGACAGAGGATGAGCAGCAAAGAAAGCACAATTGGGAGTGGCAGAAAAATGAGGAATTGGGCACAAAGATCGGTTTCTGGGGTGGGGAGGAGGCTATCTGAGAGGCTCAAAGACAGAAAAGGAGACAGGACGGGATGCATAGAGAAAAGGGGACAACACGGAGGATGGGGGTGGGGAAACCGTGAGATGGGTCTAATAAAAATGCACAGAGAAGGCTACAGTTACAGAGTGGAGGCCAGAGAATGGGGTGAAATCCGGGAGGAAGATGAACACAGAGGATGGAAAGGGTTAAAAAGAAAAATCACAGAAGCATCTCGGGAACCAAAGACAGGGATGGGAGGGGAAGGGGGACAGACTATGAGGGGATGAGGCACGTGGAGAAAGGGTTTCGAAAATCAGCAGGATGAACAGGCCAAGAGAGAGACTCCCGGAGAAGAAAAACGTCAAATTTAGGGAAATCAGCATGGACACAGCCAATAAGAGACACAAGGAAAGGGCCACAACGTTAGAAGGTGGGACCCGGGAGGGAAACAAGGATATCACAGGTAGGGGAACATAAAAGGAGAAGTGTAGATCTTGAGTTCGGGTAGTGGGAGAGAAGCGAAAAACACACGGGCGTCCACGCAGTAAAAGGCCGCTCAAGCCAAGTCCTGGCCACCAAATGCTCCAGAGGCGGGGCGATGCAGCGCAGGCCGGATGACGAGACTGCGCATGCGCCGATGCATCCAGGTCAACGTTCGCGGGAGGGCGGGCCAGGCGGCCGTTCTTGGGGGTGGGGCCAGCCTTGTACTGGAACCGGTACTCGACGCCCCATTGGCCACCTCTCCCAAAAGAGAAAGAACAATTTGGGAAGGCAAATCACAAGGGGAAGGGATAAGTGCGAGACTCAACTCGACGCGCTATTGGCTGGATTGATAGTCCAGCGCGAGGAGAAGCAGACAGAGGTAAAGGGGCGGGCCGTCAGTGCAAGATCTTGAAGCGCATTGGTCGGTCGCCTCGGCGCAGGAGACGACGCTTGAAGTTCATTGGTCCTTTTGAGAAGGGGCGGGAAAAGTGGCGCGAGCGCAGCCGTTTTTCATGCCACTGTCTCACCGCCTCCTTTCGCCTCCTCCAGATTGACTCTAACTGTGCTCCAGGCTGAGGTAACTCTGAACTGACGAGACGAACACGACCCTGCCCCTCCGTGTCTCTTCCACTCGCTCTCTTGCCCTGGATTCCCCGCCCCAGGCATCCCCTCTCCTCCCTGCTCGCGCTCCTCGCGCCCCGTTTGCCCTTCCCCCACCCCGCGGATCCTGGGCGCGCTCCCCGAGCCCCGCCCCCTCCCTGAGACCCTGGAGCGGGGCGGGGCCGCGGACCCAGCGTTTGTGGGGGACAGCTCCAGAATGGGGTGCGCGTGAGGAACAGCTGAGTGGGGCGGTGGGGCGGGAGTGGCTCGAGATTACTTGTTGGTAGTCGGTGAAGGCGCGTGATGGCCCGGCGCAGCGACGTGCCCGGGTTTGCCTTAGTTTAGGAGTGTGGGTGCAACAGAAGAATTTGGGCCGTGGAGAGGCGGGTCTTTGGGCCTAGATCAGGGCCTGGCACGTGGAAGGGGATCAGTAAACCTTTGCAGAGGAAATGAAAATAATTCTTTTAAATGGGACAAGGGATTCTTGAGAATGATATATTTACTGGGGTGCAAGGGGGTCTGATTAAAAGGGCTGCAGGGGGAAGTTGAATTGCACGGCATACATGAGGGTTAAGGATTGAAAGGGTGGCATGAAAGCATGTGTGGGAATTGGATAACTGCAGGAGGGAAGGATGATAATTGTGGAAGAGGATGCCAGGAAAATTGTGGGAATGGGGTGGTGATGGAAAGGGGAGTGTAAGAACTGTTGTAGGGGGCATGAGAGTGCCTGAGTGTGCCCCAAACTGGTATTTGTGCTTGGGAAGGTAGAGGTGAGCAGAGAATAATGTTTGGATCGAAAGATACGTAAGAAAGGAACGAGGAGAGAGGTTCTTGGAGAGGAGGATGCCCCAGGAAGGGTGAAGAAGGGAGAGAGCCAGGGGAGAATCAAGGGTGACATCTGAGTCCCGGCATGGGCAAAGTGGGAAAACCCTTTTGGTGTGGCCTCCGAGAGGCAAGAAGGATAGTCAGGACAGGACCCACGTACGTGGCTATCCTGACCTTCCACTCCTGCCCCTAGATCCATGGACCCCAATGAAATGCCTGCTGTCCACCACTGCCCTTCAGACTCTGCCACAGGGGGTGAAACCAGAGCCCCCCAGGGCATGGAACTTATCCCCAGGAGAGCTGTCAGTCGGTCTCCAACCTGTGCCCGTTGCCGCAACCACGGTGTCACTGCCCACCTCAAGGGCCACAAGCGCCTGTGCCTGTTTCAGGCTTGCGAGTGTCACAAATGTGTCCTCATCTTGTGAGTATGAGATCCAGAGAAGGGAGAGGATGGGCCTCATGTTAAAAGGAGGCTGATTTGACTGTTGACTCACCACTTCCCGTCTTTAGGGAGCGCCGAAGGGTCATGGCTGCCCAGGTGGCCTTGCGTAGGCAGCAGGAGGCACAGCTAAAGAGGCACCTAGCCCAGGGACTCATGAGAGGGGCAGCTCCTCCCAAAGCTCCCAGCCGTGTCAAGAAGGGAGTCACTCGACCAGGGGTCCACTGTAAGTGTCACTGGCTGTGGCCAGGGCAGGAATTTAGGCAGGAAAAGCCTAAGTAGGGAATAGGGCCCCAGTCCTGCCACTGAATTGATGTATGATTTTGGGCAAGGAGTTTCTGTTCTCTGGGCCTCTCCCTCCCCAACTGTAAAGTGTGATTAAGTGTTGGAAGGATGTAATGAGATCAAGGGGTAGAAATGGGACAGAGGGAGATAAAAATTCAATATTGGGCTGGAGTGGGAGGCATGCAGGAGAAAGAGCTCCCCAAAGCTCTCCCTGGTCCCTCACAGCTGGAAAGGAGAACATAGCACCCCAGCCTCAGACTCCCCATCATGTAGTTCCACTGGCACTGACACCTCCTGGAAAGGTAAGGAAGGCCTGTGCCAGTCCCACTGGCACGAGGTCCCCTGGGCCCTGAGGGAGTGACTCCTATTCTAGCCCCTGCCCAGATCCCTTCCTCTGTGCCCTCAGCACCTGGATTCTAGGTCCAGCCCTGACTTGCTGTATAATCTTGGGCAAATCACTTCTATTCCATGGGCAAAATGATGGGGTGGGATTTTGCAGCCCTTCAAACTCTGAAGTTTGGGGGCCCCAATTCTATCCTAGAACATTCCTTCTCCAGCCTTGAACTTGACTCCAACCTGTGCTCCCTGCCCTTGCAGGAGAACTCTCGAGGCCCTCTGCTGCTCAGTCGTCCCCCAGAAGCCTTGCCTTTGCCCTGGACTCCAGTGCCTCCCGGCCCTTGGGCCCCTGGGCACTGGCTGCCTCCAGGCCTTTCCATGCCAACCCCAGTGGTGTGCCGCTTGCTGTGCCAAGAACCTGCTGTTCCTCTGCATCCTTTCCCTGGTAAGATGAATTCAACGTTAATTCAACACATGTTTGAATGACTGTGTACCACTGTGTCAGAAAGAGAAGAGCGAGAGGATACAGGGTAGGAAAAGGCAAGACAGAAGCCATGACCTCTGAACACTATATACTCTGCATTCTCTTTTCCTCATTAGGTTTTGACCCTGGCACTGCCCTCCGGCTGCCCACTCATGGGCCTCTCCCAACCTGCACAGGATCTTGCCCAATGCTGACAGCTCCTCTCTCTGGAGAATCTCAAGGGCCTTCTACCCTGCCCCGCACGTGAGTAGGGAGAAAAAGACGTGTTTATGATGTGCCTAACCCTGTGCTGGACACCATAGTAGATGAGGAAGAAAAAGTCTCAGAGTATTGTGTGAGGCAGAGCTGTCCTAACTGAGTAGCTATGAATCTTTGTACAAGTATCTTTACTTCTCTGAGCCTGTTTTCTATTAGTAAATCAGAGACAGTACTACCTCTTGGTAATAATAAGAATTAGCAATAATATATGGTATACACTTAGCACAAGCCCTGGCCTTAAACAAATAGTGGCTATTAAATCTGCTTAAACAGATAGGGTTGCACTGCCTGCTGACGTGAGGGGTGGGGGGACATGATGGTAAGAATTTCAGAGGCCTAGGAGAGAGGCCAGAGGTCATTAGACAAAGTTTCCTAAAGGTTGGCCAAGCTGCTCCTCAAGTTCCATGGGGATTAAGGAACTAGGAGGGAAGAGGATCACACACTGGTAGGGCAGGAACAATCATTCAAATCCCTCTAGGTGTTTTGTCCATTTTTTTTTAAACTGACACCAATTATTTCCCATAATCCTTACAGTAGCTCTGGGAGTAAGAAGCTGAAAGATGTTTCCATTTTACAGAAAACAAAGCAGGGCAAACAGAGGGAGGGACTTGCCCAAAGCCACAAAACCTAATGACCACAGGCACTCGGAATGCCAGATCAGAACACAGCAAAATCCTGCTCCTCTTTGCATGTATACATGTCTGCCCATGAGTTTAATGCCCCTGGCATCTTTTCTCCTTATTTCCAGATGCTCAACTCTGATACTCCAGCCCTGTGGCACCCCAGACCCTCTTCTGCTACAGCCACAGGTCCTGAAAAAGAAGTGGAATCCAGGACCCTGGGAGGAAGTTCAGCTTGGGGAAGGGAAGAGTAGGGAATAATGAAGTAACTGGGGACAGGGAGCCTCTGGAGGGTGGGCAGAAGTAGGGATTCCCAGTCTGCATCTCTCCTTTGCAGGCCCCTGGACCCTCTTGCCTGACCTGGACCTCTGCCTCGTCAGAGCGGCAGCTGCAGCGGGAGGCAGCTGAGGCTCTTGTGGGACTGAAAGATTCATCTCAGGCTCCCCGCCTGACTCCTGGCCCTGCCAACCCTGCCTGGATCTCCCTGCTCCACCCTTGTGGCCCACCAGGTAACCTGTTCTCTAAAAGGAAAGGATGGGAAAGGCATGATGAGAAATGGAGGTACTGAACAAGCAGGGACTAACCAAGGAGATCAGGAGATCAGCAGGTTGAAGATCCCAGGCCCCACGCTTTTCAACCTAGCCCCTTAGATTACAGTTGAGAGTTATTCAGTGAATTTATTTTTTTGTGAGCTCAAAGGCAAATGTCCAGTGCCCTGATGTCAAGGAAAGTGAGGCCCTGAGAGAGGCCTGAGAGCATATAGCAAGTTAGTGGCAAAGCCTGGTTTCCTCACTCCAGCCCAGGGCTTCTCTTGACCCATGGTGCCTGCTGAAGTCTGGAGAGGGACTGAGGAGGTATCAAGAGCCTGGCCTGGACCCTTGATAACTGCTTTTAAGGAGTTTTCTATTTGGCAACCTGCCTCTAATGGCATCCTATTTGGAAAACCTGGATGCTTTCACAAAGTTTAGTGATAAACTTGGGAGAGACATAGAAGAATCTTGAGGCGTGAGAACCACCTGTGGGGAGAGAAAGGGAACGCTGAGATTTCTCCTGCCCAAAATGATGGGTTGGGCATGCAGCGCAGGTGAGGAAACTGGCCTGAAGGAACTGCTGAGACAGAAGTAGGTGAGTCTGGAAGGGCTTCTGATCATGGAAGTAAACACGCAACCGTACATGAAGGGGAACAAGGGAATATTTCTGAGCTAGGCAGGGATGTATTCAGAGACTCTGAGCTTTAGAAAGATAAGTATGGTGGCTGTGATGGAGGGGTTGGGTGAGACAAGACTAGAAGTGGTGAAATCAGTGAGGAGGAAGTGGTTGCTATAATCCAGGTGAACAAAGATGGGCCTGGAATAGATGGGCTAAAAAGGGAGGGTTTGCTGGGAGGGGAAATGGATGTGACCTGCTCTTGCCCTCTTTCTTCCTTCCTGTAGCTCCTGCTGGAGGAAGAGGATTCCAGCCTGCTGGGCCCTCTCTCCGGCCCAGCCCAGCCCCTTCCGTGGCTCTGCATATTGGGCGACTGGGGTCCATTTCCCTCCTAAGCTAGAAGCCCAGAGGTGGAGGCCCCGGGGGGTAGGGGGCAGCAGCCTGTAGGCATTGCATATTTGGTATTTTACTCCCAGATTTCTGCATGGAATTTAATGTAGTACACGCTTCAGGCTTTTTTTAAAGCTCTCAGGTGCTTTGTTAGCTTTTGGTTCCTTTTGTAGCATGGCCGTTTCCTTAGCCAAAGGTGGATATTCTCTTAACCTTCCTTGGGTCCTGGGACCTTTTAAAATCCCCAAAAAAGAGAAAGTTGTGCAGTTTAAGCTAACCAGTATCTAAATAGATTTCTGCATGAGTTCATGTTCCAGGGTATTCATTTGACATGTGATCCTGTATATACCTGTGCACTCATGTCTGCCTCCATGCATGTGAAAACAAGAGTATTTTTGTTTTGTGTCTTGGTTTGTGTGAGTAAGCAAGAAATAAACCAGTGTTGTATTAAGCCACTGAGATGTGGGAGTTGTTTTTTACCACAGCTTAACCTAGTCTATCCTGAGTGACAGAAAGGACTTGTTCACTTTACTCCTCAAAATGAAAGTCAGTTACTCAGTAACTACCACAAGTAACTACAAACTTGGATTTCTTTGTATGGCCAGGTAAGAAAGAGTGGTAGGGAAACACAGTAGGTGATTCACTGGTTGAATAATTGACTGCTCTGGGCCAAGCATAGACAGTTTCCAGCTGTTCAGAGGGGCACAGTGCAATACCTACAGGGCCAAACAGATCATATAAATGAGTAAAGAAGGCCAGAGAAGCCCTGGCAAACAGAATGCATGCTCCACCTAAGGGGCCGCTTCCTCTTGGCCCTAGTGAATTGTTGCCAGGAAGGAATGTGGGCTCAGTACTGCCATATCTGCTGATTTTTCAAGAGAAGCTGGAAAACTAGATTTCTGTTTTACATTTCTTAATTTTCAAATGCTGACTCAGTTTTTCTTTAAATTCTGTGCTGTGCTTAAATCCTATGTAGGTCAAACAAAACATATCTTCAGGCCAGCTTTGGTCAATGGAATGCCAATTTAATGCTCATCTGTTGTTGTTGTTTAGTCGCTATGTCGTGTCTGACTCTTTTGTGACTCCATGGACTCTAGCCTGCCAGGCTCCTCCGTCCATGGGATTTTCCCCGACAAGAATACTGGAGTGGGTTGCCATTTCTTTCTCCAGGAGATCTTCCCAACCACAGGATCAAACCCATGTCTTCTGCATTGCAGGCAGATTCTTTACCACTGAGCCACCAAGGAAGCCCTGATGCTGATCTAACATAATATTTTTATAATGGGGAGACTGAGAGCAATCAGAACAGGAATAATCAAGTTAGTCTTTATAAAAGGTTTTTCCTGAACTCGGGGGGTTCATGTATCTAAGATTTGAAGGACCTATAAAAGGATTGTGACAATTATCATTTATTGAGTACTCACTGTATGCAATTCCAACTTATCCTCACAGCAACTTTGTAAGCTATACATGATTACTCTGATTTTACAAATAAAGGAACAAGCTTAAAGAGATTAAGTGACTTGTCTGAGTATTTTAGGAAAAATTTGTAGGCATATACTGAAGAAAGATTCCTTTTCCTTGCCAGGCCCAAATCAATTGTGCTTAGTCACTCAGTCATGTCCAACTCTTTGTGACCTCATGTAAGCCACTAGGCTCCCCTGTCCATGGGGATTCTCCAGGCAGGAATACTAAGGTTGCCATGCCCTCCTCCATGGGAACTTCCCAACCCAGGAAGCAAACCTGGGTCTCCTGCATTGCAGGCGGATAAATCAATTAATAGCTAATTTTTATAATACATAGAGTGAAAAATTCAGGACTCCAGGAGACAGACATCCCAAGGGTTTTTCAAAAAGTCTTTGCTTTTGTATTCAAGAGAGCAGTAAGTAATAATATCTTACTCACGTTTGTTTCTTAGTCTTCTGCTGTCAAGTTTTTCTTCTTGAACTGTTTCAAGTATGTGGAGACCTGTTGAGCTATTCCAAAGATAGGAAGATTTGGAGACCCCCATCCCCATTCCCACTCTTAGAAGGGCCAAACAGAAAGTTCATGCCTGGGAGGATGATTCTGCCTGGGCACTGATTCTGTTTCCTAATGTTACCTACACACCTTTTTATTCAAGATAATTGATGGTGATGGCATCCAATTGCAACTTGCTATTTTCCAGTTTGGGGTCTTGAGAAGATGAGCTGCTTCTAATTCTAACAGATTACAGAGCAACTAACCTCCAACACTTCTCAGGACTAGGACTCAGTGCAGGATAACCGAAGGACCTAAGTTGGTTCACACCTTCCTTCCCTGACCTTAACTTAGATGTATGATTGCCCCTTAATAGACCTGCCTAAGCCTTGTGCCATGCTCTCTCGGTGATAGATAGCCAAGCTCCATAATCAAGGGGGAGGGAAGCATTGCAACATGCAACATGGCTAAGACCCTGCTACCCAGAGCTGACCAAAGGTCCCCAGTACACCAAGCTCACACAGCTGGCCACAGTAACAGAGAAAGTATAATCTGAGGTTAAAGGATGACATGAGAAAACGGAAGGGGAAAAAATAAAGTGATGACGACTGGAGAAAGGAGCTGGGGGCAGGCCACTCATGGACCCATTTCTCTGCAGCCCATCTCCCCTTGTCAGACTTGGCAGGACCTTTTACACTCCTGACTAGGTCTAGTTTGTCAAATTGTCAGGGCTCCCCCCATTGCTTCCCCAACCACTTCCCCAGGGAGAGAGGTGGAGGCTCTGCAGAGCTCAGGTCTGGGGAAAAAGGCAGGTTTACAGATTGTTCATGCTCCTACGTGGCTGAAGCATCCTTCACCTGCAGTTGTGGGGAGCCAATGAGCTCTTGGCTTCTGACCAGCCTTTGGAGATTAAAGCTAATAGACTAATTCTGTTAGCAGTGTTTCGTATGTCACTCCCTTTCCCAGCACCCATTACCAGGTGAGGAGAGGTGTTGCCCAGGTCCAATAGGGTACTGAGTAAATCATCCCTCTTCTCAGCTTCCTTCATGTACCATCCTCATTGATGTTCTGCAGAAATCACCAATGAGTTTCCAGATTTGAAGCACCATCCTGCTCCTCTCCAGACAGACACCCATGTTTCACTTCAGGAGCTCCTTTTACATTCTGCCCTTTGGGAATCCACACTCTCTTTCACTCAGCCCTGTGTGAACCTGGTCCACTCAGACTATGCTCCTTGACCAATGTAGCACCATCATACCACCCACCCCATCCAGTTTCTCTACTCAAACCCTCATTGCCTGATCCTCGAGACCTCATCCTGCATCCCTGTCACATTGTGTAGCTGGCTCTGCAGTCACCAACATATATTCACATAGACAGTTCTATAACCCATGCCCTACATACACCCTCATCCTTTCCATCTGACTTAATATCTCTAATAAGCCCCTTAGATAGACTTCCTTACATTCCTCAGGGGCCCTTGGCCCCTAGTTTACAAGCCTGATCACCTTGAGCTGGGCCTGTCCAACCACGTCTTCCCCTCTAAGAATTAGTACTCTAAGAGGGCAGAGCCTGCATTCAACTCCTCTCTGGCCACTCAGCATAAATGACTAAACACGTTGTCTTGATTCCTTAGGAATATTTTTTTTTCCTACAAAGTTCACTGTGACATGGCTTCTCCCCTCATCACAACATGAACAACTTCCTACCCTCAAACCATTTTTTAAGAGTTTTCTTTCAAGCAGTTTTTAGGTTCATAGTAAAATTGAGCAGAAAGTAAGAGCTCTCATATTCCCCTTGCTCCCCAAAGCCTCCCCTCCTATCAGCATCACATATCAGAGTAGTACATTTGTTAGAATTGCTGAGTCTACGCTGACACATTATAGTTTACATTAGGATTCATATTTCATTATTTTCTCCTCGCAGTAAGTCAGCAACTTCATCAAACCACAGGTGTGTCCTCTGTGTTCTCGGACCTTAGACGGATTAACCTAGATAATGCATGTAACACTATACATGTTTACCTGTTCCTTGCACAGAGTAGGCACACAAAAAACATTTGTCGATAGAATTAGTATTTGGCCGAAGAGGGGCGTCCCAGGTAAAGAATCTGCCTGCAATGCGGGAGGCCTGGGTTTGATCCCTGGGTTGGGAAGATCCCCTGGAGGAGGGCATGGCAACCCACTCCCCTATTCTTGGCTGGAGAATCCCCATGGGCAGAGGAGCCTGGTGGGATACAGTCCATGGGGTCACAAAGAGTCTGACAGGACTGAGTGACTAAGCGCACACACATGTCCGAAGAGACTCGGGCTTTAGGAGGCAGAGCTGAACTTCAAAGGTCCCGCCTCTGCTTCTGTTCCTGCCCTTTTCTACTCCCCACCTCCAGGGCCTCATTCGCATTCCGCTCTGCTGAGCCATGGTGAAGCAATTTCCGCCCTAAGAAGGGTGGGGCTTCCGTCTCCTGCTCTCGCGAGTACTGCTGGTCGAGAAAGGGCAGACTGGCTGCAATTCTTCCGTGTCCTTCCTCTCGGCTGCCGGTCACAGTTCCGCCCTTACTAGCCCCACCTTCGGCCAGAAAAGCCACTTCCACTCGGAAAAAGGGGTGGTCCCGCTGGAGCCGCCGGTCTATTTCCCGCCCAGCCAGCTTCCCTGTAACTTCCGCCAGTAGATACAGCCTCCGCCGCTATTCGTTCCATCCACGATTGATGCAAACGAAGCTAGATTCCCTCCTGCTCGAGATTAGAGCTCCTCACTCTATCTCGCTGCAGGAGAAAGAAGATCGAGAAGGAAAAAGCCTCCACCCTCCCACCAAACCCACCCACGTCCGCGGAGGCGAAGCCACCTTTGCCCTGAGAGAGGTGGAGCCACCTTTTTGTAAACCCGTTCTCGCGAGCTCCTGAACTCTCGCGATAACCGACGCCCGACTTGTGCGCCCGGGAAACCCCGTTTCTCCCTTTCCCCTGGCTGGCAGCGCGGAGGCCGCACGGTAAGAAGAGTGCTCTGGTGCGACCCGGGCGCGGGAAGTCGGGGCTCGATTTTCGAGCCCGAGGAGCGTGCCTGGGGGGCTCCGGGGCACCCGCGTGGGCCGCCCCGCCCCCTAGAGCTGCGGCCACGTGCGAGCGGCAGGCCCGGACATGTCTGATCCGCGCGGTCCGGGAACCGCGGCTGGGCCAGGTGGAAACCCGGGAAAGCGGGGGCGGGGTGGGGGGCAGAATCAGGGGTTGGCGACGTACAGCGTCTTCACAAACGGGGTCAGGCAGTGTTAATGCGCCCCAGAGAGACCGTGGTCGTCGGTAAACTCTGTAAGACCTGCAGGCGCTTGGGCCTCTAAAGCGGGGAGTTGTAGTAGGGCCTTCGGAAAGTAGGGTGAGTGCGCCGGTTACGTCGCGGTGGGACTGGGCCCGGGCCGTTGGCAGTCTTCTGCATCCAGGGACTGGGCCCGGGCCGTTGGCAGTCTTCTGCATCCAGGGACTGGGCCCGGGCCGTTGGCAGTCTTCTGCATCCAATCTGTGTTCTTATGTTCGACTTTGCCCGCAGATGCCTGGAGTTACTGTAAAAGACGTGAACCAGCAGGAGTTCGTCAGAGCTCTGGCAGCCTTCCTCAAAAAGTGAGTGTGGGGACTGGGTGGGGGCTCTAGTCTTGTCCGACGCCTCTGGGCTTTCTTTTCCTGGCTGCGGAGGCTTGGTGGTGGTCAGTGTGGAGTTCACTCTTTCTACATGAGGCCTGGGTTGTGTTTGAGTTTCAGTATTTTTCCTTTTCTGGGGCACATTGGGCTCCTAGTGGTGTACAGTTGTGCTGACGGAAGGGAATGGGGATGGAGTTTGTGGAGGCTTCTGAATTGTGCCTTTCGGGCTGTCCTGGTCCCAGGTCCGGGAAGCTGAAAGTCCCTGAATGGGTGGACACCGTCAAGCTGGCCAAGCATAAAGAACTTGCTCCCTACGATGAGAACTGGTTCTACACACGAGCTGGTGAGGAACTGGGGCCTTTGGATGGGGAGTGGAGGGCTGGGTGTCTCCTTTGTGAGTTCTTAACTTGTCCCCAGAAATTACAAGAGAGAAATACTTGACTCTGTCATTGCATACTTTGTGTGATGTAGGGTAATTTTGAGTTGTTGATATTTGTTCATTTGTAAGCGATTTTACATGAGGACCCTCGAGGATCCTCGGAGCCTCGAGGGCATCCCAGGGACAATGAGTAAAGTGTTCATCTTTTGTCTAGAGGTAGTTCACTTTAAGTCGTTGTCCTTTCCATGTCTCTTTTCTGTTTTCATTCAGGTTATCACACTAGCTTATCTCTTTCTCTTTAAGAAGTTGTTCCTAACAAAGGGGTTGGAAATGTGACCCAGTTATTCTAAATCTTGACAAGTCTCAAGTGCTCAGAAGAAAACTTAGGGTCACTCTGTACCAGCTCCTTCTCTTTTTATTAATCCTTTATATTAATTGATCCTTCAGTAAGGACTGGCTTAAGCATAGCCCCTGATCGCACAGTGCTAGTACTGTCTTCTTTTTAATGATTGAAGTTTCTCCAAGCAGTCACCCCCCATGAAGCTTATCTTGGGAGTGGGGGGTGGGGTTCTACCCTGGATTGTGCCAAGGCAGCAGCCTCTGCACAGGCCTTCACTACAGGCTCTCAACCTCTCCACTCTCAAACCTTCCTCCTCTGTGAAGTGGGGGTTCTGTCCTGACAACCGCTTGTCTCCATGTGGGAAGTGGGTGGGAAGCAGAGTTGAGAAGTTGACAAAACTCCAGCATGACTTTGAGAAGAGTTGGCCTTGGTCAAGTTGCCCAGTATCTCAGAACATGAAGTGTTTTGTAGTCTGAGCTTTGATGATTGTGAGGTAAGTGGGGTGGGTAGCTTATCCACCTACTCATTTCAGTGTTTTCAGAAAGAAAGATGGGGGGTGGGACAGGGTGGACAAGACCACCACTGCCACCCCTTTCACCCGTCTTGGGAAGCAAGGTTTGCATAGTCCTGACTGCTCTTTTGTGATGTCCAAGATTTGGAGAAAGACTAGTGGTTTTTCTTATTTCGCGGGTGAATATGCCTATGTTGTGTAATTTGTACTTAACAGAAACCTCCCACATAGGGACTGGTGGTAGCTGATTCGCTGTTGATGTCAGAGTGGTTAATACATGAGGTCTGTCTGCTCCTGACACCTCAGCCCCCTCGGCCTTGTCATCACTTGGGGAGTTGGTGGTGGGCAGCTCTCTTCCCTCGGCAACATTCTCTACTTTGCGTTTCTAGGTCGGGGGACGTTGTGGGGTGGGGGAAAGGCCGTGGGTAATACACACCTAGTTGAGCCTGCTGGTCATCTTTGTAGTTGCTGTGGCCCCTTTCTGTCCACTGTGTACCTTCCCTAACACCTCATGCTAGGTGTGCGTCCTCTGCCTGCCCTGCTGGTCTCCCTCTGGATTTCCAGAGCCCCCTTTCCCAGCTGCCCTAGTGGCACAGATAGCAGTTCTAGACCAAGGTTTTTTGGGACGCAGCCATGGTTATTCGTTCACAGTCACAGCAGAAGCCTGGGTTGGAGCTATGACAGACTACTGTCTGACCCTTAAAGAGGAAAAGTTTGCCAACCTCTGTTGAAATCTGGAGTGCTCCTACTGAGTTTGTTCAGTTCATACTCTGGATGAGGAAAGTCATGCAGACTGACAGATGAAGACCCTGGGAAGGTGTGGCAGGCTGGCTACCAAGACCAAAGTCTAGATCTTGGGTGTAGATTACAAGGGCCACATAGGTGACAGGGCCTTGGTAAGGGTGGTCTGGAAGGGGTGCGGTTATCTGTAGGGATGAATAGCCTCCAGGCAGTGGTGTTGGGAGTGTGTGAGGGATGAGGTGTGGAGATGGACCCTGTTTCAGGGGAGCAGGGACCTGCTCTAAGAGGAGGAGGGGGGTCAAGGGGAGACTATGGGCTTTGAATGGGGTGCTGCATTGTGGCCCTGGGTAGATATAAGTGCTCAGATGGGCCTGCTTGAGAGGGAGGTAAGAATACAATGTGTCTGGCAGTGAGTGAGCAGCTGTTGGATTGGGGCACCTGAATCCCTTTTCTCTCCCCCCGCCATGCCAGACAGCTTGCAAAATCTTAGTTCCCTGACCATGGATTGAACCCAGGCTCTGGGCAGTGAAAGCAGAGTCCTGACCCCTGGACTGCCAGGGAGTTCCCACTGAATGCATTTTACTGTAAGGTGGAGGCCAGTCCCAATACAAGCAGTTGCCTTTCTCCACCTTATGATTCGGTGGGTCAGGATGGAGCCATGAACGTGAACTTAACATGGACTGGTAGCTGGCTAGGCTTCGAAGACCAAAGCCTCGTTTGGTCTGCCATTTGCTAAGTGGAGTATGCCCTGCCCCCTCATCCACTTGGGGGCCCAACAAGACACCTAGCAGGGGTTTAGGGTGCTGCGTGGTCCTGAGGTAGGAGTGACTCCTCATCCGGGTCTCCCTAGAGGGAGCAGAAGGACACCTTTGGAGGGGCTGAAGGGAAAGCCATTTGTGGCAGCACCTCGTTCACTGACGCCATCATAAACACCCTTGGGATGGCCTGGATTTGCGCCCTTACAGCTCCACTTCAGGAGGAGGCGCTGGGACCTTGGCCTAGGTCTGAAGGGCTGAGGAGAGGAAGTAAAAGGGGGTCAGTGTTTCTGTGGAACTCAGTATTTTGACTGTTAATTTCCAATTTGTGAAATTAATACTCTTGTTCTCCCTTCTAACGGGTCAGAAAAATAATCTGCACAAACTGCTGTGATGGGGGAGGACCTGGTATCTGCCACACTGGATAGTGGGGGGTGGGGGGGTTGCCACGCCACTTAGTTTCTCCATCAGGGGTCAAAAACAGGGTCCTAACCACTGGACCACCAGGGATGTCCCCCACACCTAATAGTTTTAGTGGTGTTAAGAAAGGTGTGAAATCCACCCAGGAGAAACTAAAGTTGGGCTTTGTTGGAGTTTGTTCTCTGACTTTCGCTGCTGGGGACTTGAGTAAGTTGTCCCCGTGAGTACCAGGCCACTGGCCGCTAGACATGGGTGGGCTCTGTCACAGCTGAAAGGGAGCCATGTTGGGGTTCAAACCCCAGCTACCAGGCAGCTCACCCCTTTCCATGGTGAGACTGGGCTGAGTGCTGTCCTGGTTCAGCAAAATTCATTTCTGGTGTGCAGCCTCTTCCGGGTGTTGGTGAAATCAGGGGTGTTCATCTTAACCCTACCATGGGGCTCTGATGCCTTCCACATCCCAGGTGGAGAGCAGGTCTCCACATGGAACCAGGGCATGGCCTGTGTGATGGGGAGGTGGCCATTGGGCATTTGGACTGGTCTTGAAGGCCATTTCTCCATGAGGTCACTCCCCTGGCAGAAAGGTTGTTGAGGGAATTTGGGGTGGGGGGGTCTTACAAGAGGTGAGTCTCTTGATCCTGGCAGTGGGTAGGCTGCTTGATGCCTGGAAGAGGGGTCAGATCCCTGGTATAGAGGATGGCATGGGGACAGAAAGAACCAAGGAGAATGATTTAAAGGGGGCAGGGCCATGGGCAGTGATACCAGGGAGAGGCTACTCAGTGGCCCTGGTGAAGTGGCGGGAGTTAGCGCTCCGTGATACACCCCTGTAGCCTGCGTCCATGTCTGGAGGTGGGCCGACAATGGGTTGTGTGCAGGTACTGCCCAGGGAGGAGGAGCCCACCTCACCTGGTCAGTTACATTTTATACCACCCCTACTCCCCACCCCAGCTCTAGACACAGGGGGATGGTGTGACTCTTAGCAGCGAGTCATTATTGGGAGAATAACTTCTGACTCATCTTCAGGACCGAGGAGAATCCTAACGTGTGGGGACCTGGAGTCCCTACCCTTGAGCTTTCAGTCAGGCGGGGCCATGTGGTGGCCAGCATCTGGGCCCCAGCTCTTTCAGACCCCAGTGGCTCCCTGAGATAGAAAACCAGAACCATCTGCGGGGCTGTCTGTCCCTCCAGAGCAGCCACACTATCAGGCTGGCCCCTGAGGCTATCTTAACTGCTCACAGGAGAGAGTGTAAAAGCAGGTGGCACAGGGCATGGCGGGCCAGTGTTCCAGTTGAACAGAAGAGATTTCCAAGGAGACTGGCCAGGGGACTTGCCCGAGCCAGAAACCCCAGTCCATGGAGCAGGCTGACATACCTTCCAGGTTGGGATCATGGCATTAGGATGTCAGCACTGCTGCTGCCGTGAACCCAAGCTCTTCAGGGCAGGCCTGGGATGGTAGTGGGGCAATCAGTAGGTCCCTTCTCCAACTCTACAGCCTGCAGAGCCCCCAGACAACTGGTTGTGGACGGTCACAGCTCAGACGTTTGCTGGGCTCTGTCCATGAAACCTCAGGTCCACCTCACTACTGCCTGGTCACGTGGCTGAAACAGTCTCCACTGCCGGTGCACCCCAGGCTCCCAAACTGGGGGTGGTGGTCAGGTGTTACTGGAACCTTGGGTGCATTCGCCTGTTCTCTGTTTCCCCGACTGTAAGATGGTGAGAATCCGTTCCCTGCGGAATTCAGTGTGTGACCCTGAGCAGAGCCCTTTCCTGTGGGCTTCTGTGCCTGAGAAGGGTTCTCCAGCCTCCCTTTCCTCCCACCCAGCTTCCACGGCACGGCACCTGTACCTCCGGGGTGGCGCTGGGGTTGGCTCCATGACCAAGATCTATGGTGGGCGTCAGAGGAACGGCGTCATGCCCAGCCACTTCAGCAGAGGCTCCAAGAGCGTGGCCCGGCGGGTCCTCCAAGCCCTGGAGGGGCTGAAAATGGTGGAAAAGGACCAAGATGGGTAAGCCAGCGAGGGGACGCTGGGCACATGAGGGTGCTTGGGGCCAGATCCCCAGTGGTGCCTTTATGGAGGACCATCCCCCTCTGCCCTCAGTGAGGTGTCAGGTATGTCCTGGCCCTCGGGCAGGCAGGGGGTTCTTCAGAAGAGCGAGCAGCCGAGGGGCCTCGCCCTGACCTCTCTGGCTGACTACTCCAGACTCCAGGAAGGTAATTTAGCGACTGTCCGCTTTCATTAGCCTGCTCGTTAACTTTTCCCAATTGATTTTTCGGGGCTTTTGATCTATTGCTTGCAGAAACGACACCCCATCAGCTCAGGACAAGGAGGGGTTCCCACTGCAGCCTCCAGCTTGTTAGAATGCAGCCGACTGGGGGCCTGAGTGGGACTTGGCTGGCGTCGTGAGGTCCTGCGGCCAGGTGCCTCCTTGGGAAGCCTGGCTCATGTCCAGGGGAGGCCTGGCCAGGACCAGGGATGCTGGTGAGAGTTCACGCTCACCTGGGCCTGCGTGACCCTTCTCTCCCACAGGGGCCGCAAACTGACGCCTCAGGGACAGAGAGATCTGGACAGAATCGCTGGACAGGTGAGTGGGGACTTGGGTCACCACCTGGGGGCCTCTGGAGCCTGGACTTTGACAGTTTTCTCCCCTGGAGGGTACAGCCAGGGAAGCGGGGGTGCAGGAGAAAGATCATTTCTAACAGACTTCCCGTCACGGGGGGTGGGAGACAGGTTGGAATGCAGGGCCCTGGGGGAAGGGAGCCCCGGGCCTAGGTGCAGCCAGCTGGGCCTTTACTGCAGGGCACGCTCCCACAGAGGCCACTCCATCTCCCCAGGTCAGCCTTCTGATTCTGACAGCAAGGTTTCTTCCTTATTCCTGATCCTCATGGAGCATCGGGTGGGGTGCCACGGAACCCGGCCTCCATGTGGAGGCCGACTGACAAGACACCCTGGGCCAGTCTCCCTATCTGGACTGATGCTCTCAGCCACTTCCCAGGGTGGTGGCGAGGATTCATGAGCTATAGCAGCAGGAGCCCTGGGGCCTGGCACGAACCTGTTGTTGGTTTTCTTTTTTGTGTATCATTGACTTAGGCCCCCTAGGAGCCTTGGACTGTGGAGTCGCTTAGTTTCTAAGTGTCAGACAAGAGCCGCGTATCAGCCCTCTGGGAACGGGAGGTGGCCTGGCAGAAGGTAGGGGCAGTGCAGGGCCTGGCGCCAGCAGCAGTGTAGACTGGAGTGATGGGCAGAGGTCAGAATCATACTGCAGTGCTCTCTTGAGTCCCAGTTTCTGATTCTGTAAAAGGGGGAAGTGACCGAGGCTGTGAGCATCTGGTGAGATGTATACATCAGAAACCACAAATCAGGAGGCCTGGTGCCCCCTGGTTAGTGGGGAGCTTCTGTGAAGTGCCTGAACACAGGCCCACAGCTGATCGTAACTATTTGTCCATCTTTCCTACAGGTGGCAGCTGCCAACAAGAAGCATTAGAACAAATGATGCTGGGTTAATAAATTGCCTCATTCGTAACCCCGGTCTGGGTCTCCTGTTTTGGGGGGTGGGGCATGAGGAAGGAGCGCTTCCCTTCCCTGGTGAAAGAGGCACCAGGGGCTTCCTAGATGGCTGTCATACTCAACAGCCCCAGAAACCTGAGGCCTGGCTTCCATATTCAAACGGGTTCTACCCCACGTGGGCAAGGTGCTGGTGTATGACCCAGGGCCTCTGTGCGTCTCTCCACAGCAAGTCTCAGAAAAAAGAAACTGAAAGTTCAAGCAGTGGCCCTGCTGGAACAAAGCAGGAGGGGCCCTGGGGCTCCAGTGCTGCTTCCCTGCAGGAAGCGGACAGGGACAAACAGCCCTCGCTCCAGGTGGTCCTTGGTGTGCCTTCCGCCCAAGGGTTTGACCTTGGCCTGGTGTGCGCGTCCTTTCCCTGATCTGCTTGGGATCTCTAGCCTGGGCCCTGCTGTACCCCCTTCAACAAGGGGAAGCGGCAGCACGGACCCAGCTGGGACCAGGGTGTTAACTTCCCTCCCCAGGGGAGGGATGTGACACCTGCTGGGAGGCTGCAGTCTGGGGCCCTGCCCCCTCTGGGTCTCCATGGCAATTGGTTCTTGGCACTGATGGGACCTTCCCAAGTAGCTCAGACAGTAAAGAATGCTTCCCCTGCAGGAGGGAATGGCTACCCACTCCAGTATTACTGCCTGGAGAATTCCATGAACAGAGGAACCTGGTAGGCTACAGTCCATGGGGTCGCAAAGAGTGGGACACTGAGCAACTTGCACTGATGGAACAGGAACTCTACCTGTACCTGGGTCCCTGGTTGGAGCAGGACACCCTTTTAATCCTGGAGGGAGAAGCCTTGCCTTCGTAGGGCACCCTACCACCCTGGGGACTGGGCACACCTCCCAGCTGGGAAAAGCCAAGATGCTGAGCCCAAACTGGCTAGGCCACAACCCCTGAGCTTCCTCCACCCCAAGTTACCACTGAGATCAGACCCAGTGCCATGCCTGACTTCTGGACTCTGGATGACATGGGTTCAAGTTCCACTACTGCCCATAATTGCTATGACCCTGAGCAGCTTACCCTCAGCCTGCTCTTGTTTGTAAAGCTACTTCTGCCTGAGGGATTCTGGGAGGTTCCCTGTCTCGGCCCAAAGCAGCATACCTGGTGTACCAAGATGTTCAAAGTGAAAATATCAGACCACAGAGTCATACACCTTTGGCACTACTGCCCCCAGCTCAAAAGTTGCCAGGGCTGGAAGTTACTCACTGATGTGAACACTGGACTAGAGCCGACCAGTGTGTTTGTGCCCAAGTACTCCAGTCATTCAGTAGTGTGTGAACACTTGCAATCTCATGGATTGCAGCATTCCAGGCTGCCCTGTCCATCACCAACTCCCGGAGCTTACTCAAACTCCTGTCCATCATGTCGGTGATGCCATTCAGCCATCTCATCCTCTGTCGTCCCCTTCTGCCTTCAATCTTTCCCAGCATCAGTGTTTTCCAATGAGTCGGTTCTTTGCATCAGGTGGCCAAAGTATTGGAGTTTCAGCTTCAGTGTCAGTCCTGCAAGTGAATATTCAGGACTGATTTCCTTTAGGACTGACTGCTTGGATCTCCTTGCAGTTCAAAGGACTCTCAAGAGACTTCTTGAGAGTTCAAAAGCATCAGTTCTTCGGCGCTCAGCATTTTTTTTGGTCCAACTCTAACATTCATACATGACTGCTGGAAAAACCATAGCTTTGACTAGACAGACCTTTGTTGGTAAAGTAATGTCTGTGCTTTTTAACATGCTGTTGGTCATAGCTTTTCTTGTTGGTCATAGCTTTTCTTCCAAGGAGCAAGCGTCTTTTAATTTCCTGGCTGTAGTCACCATCTGCAGTGATTTTGGAGCCCAAGAAAATAGTCTGCCACTGTTTCCATTGTTTCCCCATCTATTTGCCATGAAGTGATGGGACCACATGCCATGATCTTACTTTTCTGAATGTCGAGTTTTAAGCCAATTTTTTCACTCTCCTCTTTCACTTTCATCAAGAGGCTCTTTAGTACTTCTTCCCTTTCTGCCATAAGGGTGGTGTCATCTGCATATCTAAGGTTATTGATATTTCTCCCAGCAATCTTGATTCCAGCTTGTGCTTCATCCAGCCAGGCATTTCGCATGATGTACTCTGAATATAAGTTAAGTAAGCCGGGTGACAATATACAGCCTTGACACACTCCTTTTCCGATTTGGAACCAGTCTGTTGTTCCATGGCCAGTTCTAACTTGCTTCTTGACCTGCATATAGATTTCTCAGGGGCTTCCCCTGTGGCTCAGCTGGTAAACAATCTGCCTGCAATGTGGGAGACCTGGGTTCAACCCCTGGGTTGGGAAGATCCCCTGGAGAAGGGAAAGGCTACCCACGCCAGTATTCTGGCCTGGAGAACCCCATGGACTGTATAATCCATGGGGTCGCAAAGAGTTGGATATGACAGAGACTGAAGTACTAGAGGTGCTGTTTAACCATATTACTTAATACTTTTGTGAAGTAGGTACCCAAACGCACCCACTGTTTGAGATGGGAAAAAGAGGTCACGGGATGGGTGATTTTCCTCATGACCTACAGCTAGGAGGTAGCAAAACCAGCATTTGGTAGCTACAGCCAGCTATCTGGGCGGTAGCCACTGCAGGGCTTAGCAATGAGGAAAATGAGACCCAAAGGTTTACACTCCTGGGCATGGCCTTGAGTCAGTCACTCCTTGTTTGGGACCTAAGTTTCCTCTTTTGTCGACTGAGAATGAAATTTCCCAGAATCATCCTGGGAATGCAATGCCAAGAATCCAGTTAGCTTGCCCAGTGCCAGATACCAGGGGTGCTGGGTAAGTGGGTCGTGGAGGTGCCCTTCCCAGACAGACCAGTCTGCCTGAGAGGGCCTGCAATGCGGCAGCTGCACCCCTCTGGCCACTGGGGGGCAGTCAAGGGCCTGGAAACCAGCCTGGCCAGGAAGGATGCTGAAGGAGGCGAATTCCTAAGGGCTGCAGCAACTGGACCACCCAGGCATCTTCCTACGTGGGGGTCAGAAGGAGGAACTTTAGTACAGAGGGGCTCATAACCTGTTATACAGAGAGGGGCCCAACGGAACACCTGGGTCCCTGGAGGGAAAGGGGGAGGGTCTGAGGGCCAGAGAAGAGGAAGTGTGTCCTAGGAACCCTGCTCTGTGATATTCTTACAGCCTCACAAGGTAGGGGGGTTGTGCCCCAGTTACAGGAGGAGAAACAGGCTCAGATGAGCAGAGCTGAGATTCAGACCCAGGAGGTGTGATCTCTTGAGGCCCACGTTCTTCTGTGTGGGTGACATTTGCACTTTTTTAAATTACAAAAGACTTCACCACGCAGAACAGTATAATAGTGTGACAAGGACCCATGAACCCACTACTCAGCTTAAAAAGTAAAGTGACCTAAAACTAAGAGAAAAGAAGCCATCTGTGTACCCTTCCCCAGAGGGAACCCCTCTCGCAAGTGGGATGTCACTCCTCTGCATGGCCTCACCCCTTTCCTGAAAACACATGTCCCTAAACAGCACATGTTGTTTTGCCTTTTGAAAACAAGTCAGCTAGATCCTGCCACAGTCCATTTCTTCTCATTTTTTTGTTGGTCCTGAGATGCAGCCCTGTTGACAAGTGAAGCTCAGACTCCTGCTGTGTGCTACTTTATTGACAACCAATACTTTGGCCACCTGATGCAAAGAGCTGACCCACTGGAAAAGACTGATGCTGGGAGAGGAAAGGGACGACATAGAGAACGAGATGGTTGGATGGCATCACCGACTCAATGGACATGAGTTTGAGCAAACTCCAAGAGATGGTGAAGGACAGGGAAGCCTGGCGTGCTGCAGTCCATGGGGTCGCAAAGAGTCAGACATGACTGAGCGACTAAACAACAACCAGCAACCTACTCCAGTATTGTTGCCTGGACAACCCCATGGACAGAGGAGTCTGATGGGCTACAGTCTATAGGGTCGCAAGAGTCAGACACGACTTAGCAACTAAACCACCACCACCATCAGTTCAGTTCACTTCAGTTGCTCAGTCGTGTCTGACTCTTTGCGACCCCCATGGACTGCAGCACGCCAAGCCTCCCTGTCCATCACCAACTCCCGGAATTTACCTAAACTCATGTCCATTGAGTCGGTGATGCCATCCAACTATCTCATCCTCTGTCGTCCCCTTCTCCTCCTGCCCTCAATCTTTCCCAGCATCAGGGTCTTTTCAAATGACTCAGTTCTTCACATCAGGTGGCCAAAGTATTGGAGTTTCAGCTTCAACATCAGTCCTTCCAATGAACACCCAGGACTGATTTACTTTAGGATGCACTGGTTGTATCTCCTTGCAGTCCAAAGGACTCTCAAGAGTCTTCTCCAACACCACAGTTCAAAACCATCAATTCTTCAGCACTCAGCTTTCTTTATAGTCCAACTCTCACATCCATACATGACTACTGGAAAATCCACAACCTTGACTAGACGGACCTTTGTTGGCAAAGTAATGTCTCTGCTTTTTAATATGCTGTCTAGGTTGGTCATAATTTTCCTTCCAAGGAGCAAGCGTCTTTTAATTTCCTGGCTGCAGTCACCATCTGCAATGATTTTGGAGCCCAAAAAAAATAGTCAGCCACTGTTTCCACTGCTTCCCCATCTATTTGCCATGAAGTGATGGGACCAGATGCCATGATCTTAGTTTTCTGAAAGTTGAACTTTAAGCCAACTTTTTCACTCTCCTCTTTCACTTTCCTCAAGAAGCTCTTTAGTTCTTCTTTACTTTCTGCCATAAGGGTGGTGTCATCTGCATACCTGTGGTTATTGATATTTCTACCAGCAATCTTGATTCCAGCTTGTGCTTCATCCAGCCCAGCATTTCTCATGATGTAATGTTTTAGTTTGGGAGGATGCTTGAACTCTGCATATAAGTTAAATAAGCAGCGTGACAATATACAGCCTTGATGTACTCCTTACCATAGCTCAATGTATACATTCATTCTCCTATTAAGGAGTTTCTCATCTGTTTCCCAGTTTTGGCTACCAAAAATCTCCCTGCCATGAATTTCTTCCTAGGTGTCCCCTTATGTGTGTGTGTCTTATATGTGTGTGCACATGTGTGACATGGTCCCCTAACAGCTCACAAACATCTCAACAACTTCATATCATTTCACTCCCCCACCCCTCAGGCTTCATTTCCCTCCCAGTTGACCTAAAATGATGTTCAAAAGCAACCTGGGCACATGTAAGTGACTTGGAATCCCAGCTCCACCACCAGGCTGTGTAACACTGAGCAAGTGACAGATGGCATCCCCTCTCTGAGATGGCCTCAGTTTCCGCCCCTTTAAATTGGTGGGGGGCAGGGGCAGTAAGTGGCCTACCCTGCTGACTTGTGGTGGAAATGAAAAAACACCAGGAAAGAGCCCATTGTGGACCTTGGATGTCAGGAATATCATCTTAAGTCACAGCACCAGGGAGATATTTTCATCCTCATCTCTTGGATTAAAAATGCTGAACCTCAGGGACTTCCCTGGTGGTCCAGTGGCTAAGACTCCATGCTCCCAATGCAGGGGACCCGGGTTCAATCCCTGGTCAGGGAACTAGAACCCGCATGCCACAACTTACTAGAGTTCACATGTCGCAATTAAGACCCTGCGCTGCCACATAAGTAAAATGATACATATATATAATTTTAAATGCCAAACCTCAGAAAGGAAAGCCATCACCTAGTCACATAGCTGGTGAGCCTGCCTCATTTATTCCTCATGTGTGTATGTTAGTTGCTCAGTCGTGTCTGACTCTTTGCAACCCCATGGACTATAGCCCACCAGGCCCCTCTGTCCATGGAATTCTCCAGGCAAGAATACTGAAATGAGTAGCCACTCCCTTCTCCAGGGGTTCTTCCTGCATCTCCTCATATGTGTGTGTGCATGGGATTGAACCCTTGTCTCCTGCATTGGCAGGTGGATTCTTTACCACTGAGCCACCAAGGGAAGCCCTTATTCCTCATAAACATTAATAATAACCAACCTTTACTGAGCACCTATCATGTGCCGGGGTCCTGTGTTCAGCGCTGTGCAAGTACAACCTCTAAATTCTCTTTTCCAACCCCAAGAAGTGAGGACACAGAGGCTCAGGGACTCCGCAAGCTCCAATGGTTAAGAAGCCGCCCTGCAAGGCAGGGGACGTGGGTTTGAGCCCTGGTCAGGGAACTAAGATCCCGCATGCCATAAGGCAGTAAGCCCATGGCCACAACTAGAGAATCTGTGTGCCCCAATGAAAGATCCCACATGATACAGCGAAGATCTCATATGCTGCGACTAAGACCCAATGCAACCAAATAAATTAATAAGTATTAGAAAAAAGAAGTGAGGACACAGAGGCTCGGAGAGGGGACAAGTTTTGCCCACGGCCAATGAGGGGCAAAGACCAAGCTCGGAACCACCACCACCCTTGGCTGCCGGTGTGCAGTAGACTCCCCAAACCCGGCTCCCTTGGGCAGGGGGGCAGGGCGGGTTTCCTTTCCAGTGACGAGCCAGGCCTTGAACCAATCTCTTCCCCCCACCAAAGCAGCCTCCTCTCAAGGGAGTTGTGGCGGCCACAGGTGCAAGGAGCGGTTCCTCTCCACTCACAGTCTGAAGCCTCCTCCGCCAGGGGCTCCCCCCCAGCTCGCCAGCCAAAGGGCCCAGCAGTGGGGCCAGCGAAGCCCATCTCCGCAGGGCCGGGCAGGAAGTGGGGCGGGGTTTGGGGCTCAGCCGAGGTGGGATCTGGTACCCCAGGACTGCTGCAACCCAGACTAACCAAACCCACTGGGAGAAGATGCCTGGGGGTCCCCAAGCCCTGCAAAGCCTGCCTGCCACCATCTTTCTCCTCCTGATCTCCACTGCTGGCCTGGGTATGTGGTTAACAGGCAGGTGCTGGGGAGACGGTACTGGGAACTGGGAGATTGTTGAGAGAGGCCCCAGGCAGAGGGGGAGGGAGAGGAGCTGGAAGGAGGCAGGCTAGAAAAGACCCTGTAGAAACTGCATCTGCCTGCTTGATTGTCCCAAACAGGCTGATGGGAGGCTAGGGGGGGCTCAGCGAAGTTGATGGCACGTCCGGCCTGGTGGAGGAAGGCAAGGGCAGGAGACACCTTCCCCACTCCCTCCTCCCCCCAGATCAAAATAAGGAACTAAGGTTGCCCTTGACTGACTGAGCTCCCGAGCGAGCGAGCTAGGGGCAGAGAGGGGACGGTGGTGGGTAGCGGTCAGCTTCAGAGGGGAGAAAAAGCTTTCTCCTTTTCTGCCTTGAATCCTAGTCCTCACCCCCAACTTAGGGAACCCCTTCTCAGTGCTGGGGGAGTAGGTGACCTTCCCCCTCGCCCTCCCACACAATGCCAGCTGGCAGGGCTGTGATCACCTTTTGACCGAGGAGTTGAGAGAAATACGGCCAGTCACCCCAAATTTCCACTGGGAGCTGAGATTGGAGTGACTCCTCAGGTTGCTGTCTCTTACCCCACTTCTTCCTCCTTCTCTCTTCCCCACCTCTCCCCTCCTCCCTCCAAAAGAGGCAGAGTCAGCCATGCGGACTGGCCCAGGAGGAGGGGCACAGAACTGGGCCTTCCCCTGTGCCTGGGCCATCCCATCTCCTTCGACCCAGCTGAGGCCCTCCAGCTCTAGCCAGCCAGCCCAGCCCAGCCCCTGGCCTCACCCCAGGTCCCCAGCTTGACACAAGCAAGTTAAGGAGAATGAGGGGCGGGCCCAGGGTCACAGGGCAGGGCAGGCTCACAAACTGGCAGGAAGAGGCCCAGGGCCAGGGGGCCAGGGGCAGAAGCCCTGAGCCACTCCTGCTGCCGTGGGTCACAGCTGGCCCACTGGTAGAATGGGTTGATGACAGAACTGATTTCTCTGGGTTCTGTGACAATTACACAAAGTAAATAAAGTGCCAGTGTGGGGCCGGGCAGGGGCTGGGTGAGAAAATAATCCAGGAGGGCCTTCAGGAGGAGGCAAAGCCCAGACTGATTTTGGAAGGCGCTTCCTGGCCTGGGGCACTGCTAGTCCTAGGGAACTGCCTATTCAAGTGCCAGCGAGCCCAGAGTGGGTGGAAGCACAGAGCAGGGGGGAGAGGGAGGAGGTGGCTCTGGAGGGGCAAGTGGGGGCACCTCCCAGTGCCCCCCAGTTCCGGGTGTGTCACTCACACTTCTCCACACCCCACACCACACACACATGCACACGCAGCCAGGAGTCCTGCCGCTGCCAGGGGCCGTGCTCGGGCGGTGTCCGCAAGGGCCGTCCCTGACCCACTGCCTCCTGTCTGCAGGCCCCGGGTGCCGGGCCCTGTGGGTGGAGCCGGGCCCACCCTCGGTGACGGTGAGCGTGGGGGAGCAGGTGCGCCTCCAGTGCCCGCACAACGGCAGCAGCAACACCAACGTCACGTGGTGGCACGTCCTCCAAGTCAACTCCTCGTGGCCCCCTGTGATGTATCCCGGGGCCCTGGGTCCCAAAGGGGAGCTGATCATCCAGCAAGTGAACAAGAGTCACCGGGGCATGTATCGGTGCCAAGTCAGCGAGGGCAAGAAGATACAGCGCTCCTGCGGGACGTACCTCCGCGTGCGAGGTGAGTGCCCATCCCGTCCATCCTCCGGGAAGGCGGGATGGAGCCCGAGCCTGCATCGCCTGCATCTCGGGCATCCTGGGTCTCGCCAAGCGGGAGCCGCTTCCACGATCTCGGTCTCGGGCCTCGCTGGAGGGGGCGTGGCCTAGGGGGCGTGGCCAGGGGGCAAGGTGGGGCTCTGAGCCGTATTCCCTCCTCTCAGAGCCGCTCCCCAGGCCCTTCCTGGACATGGGGGAGGGTACGAAGAACAACATCATCACCGCCGAGGGCATCATCCTCCTCGTCTGCGCCGTGGTGCCTGGGACGCTGCTGCTCTTCCGGGTGAGCCCCCCCAGGCCCACCCCGCGGGGACCAGCGGGCCCCCAAGAATCCCTCCCGCCTAGAACTTGGCAGAATGGCAGCACCCACCTCCGAGATGCTGAGGACAATTTAATAGAATGAACGCGTTTTAAACCGTGCTGGGACCAGAGGGGCGTCCTTGCTGTCTCCCCACAGGGTTGTCTTCACCTCCGGCCCCAGGGATGTCTCACTGGCCCCCTCTATCCAGGAGGGCTGTACCCTTCAGATGTAGCCCAGGCCAGGGGAGTTGGGAGCTGGTGTCATCCCGGAGTGTCTGACCCCCACCAGCGTCTCTTTGGCATGTGTGTGTGCTCAGTCGCTAAGTAGTGTCCAGTTATTTTGCGACCCCGTGGACTGTAGCCCGCCAGGCTCCTCTGTCCATGGGATTTCCAGGCAAGAATACCTGAGCTTCCACAGTGGCTCAGCAGTAAAAGAATCCACCTGCAATGCAGGTCAGGAAGATCCCCTGGAGAAGGGAACAGGCAACCCACTCCAGTATTCTTGCCTGGAGAATCCCATGGACAGAGGAGCCTGGCGGGCTACAGGCCACAGGATTGCAAAAAATGTCGGACACAACTGAGCGACTAAAACAACAACAAATTTTCTTTAGGCCACAAGACAACTATAGCCACTTAGTATTATTGCTCTCACTATTTGTGGGGAAGAATGGGCAGTGGCGACAGTCAAAAGGACACTGGCTTGGACCCAGAGTGACCTGCCACTTACAGGATATGTGACTCTGGGCATGCCCCTTAACTCCTCCTGGCCGCCACGAGGGTCTGAAAACATGATCTCTATCCGCCCCCCCCTCCTCCCCCACACTCACTGAGGCTCCCCATCCCTCAACAGAAACGATGGCAGAACATGAAATTCGGGGCTGATATCCAGGATGACTATGAAGATGAAAATCTTTATGAGGTGAGTGGAAGGTGGGGGCAGGTGCAGAGCGGGTGCAGGTCTGTGGGGTGGGGGTGGGGGTCTCCTAGGGTTCCTCCTTGAGGTTGGTTGAGGGCAGGGACCCGGGCCCCAGGGCACTGAGGTCCACCCCCCTGTGTCCACCACAGGGCCTGAACCTGGATGACTGTTCCATGTATGAAGACATATCCCGGGGCCTCCAGGGCACCTACCAGGATGTGGGCAGCCTCCACATCGGAGACGTTCAGCTGGAGAAGCCGTGACCCCGCCGGGCTGACCCGCCATGCACCCAGCCCGCATCTCACCCTACTTCCCCCCGAAGCCACTCTCTTTTCACAGTCTTTCCTGGGAGTGTCCTGACTCAACTTCCCCCTTGGGACTGTCCACTCTTCTTCCCTCTAGGCCATCCTCGTCCTCATCCCCTCCACACACCCTAACTCAATCCTCCCCCTACTGCCTTCCCCAGCTTCCCCCACCCACCCACCCAGCGGGTAATGAGCCCTTAATCACTGCCTCTAGGGGAGCTGACTATAGCAGCCTCGTTAGTGTCACCTCCCCGCTGCCTGCTCTGTCGTGGCCACTTAGTGATAATAAATCCTTCCCGACTGCAGACCTTCGCAGGAGTCATGGATCTCGTGGGGACCACTCCCCTTCCTTCTCTGAAACAGAGAAATCCAGGACAGGCCCCTCCTCCCCCAGCCCCTGCCCACTCCCCACACCTGCGACCAGGTAGCCAGTCTTGGCCATCCCCTGAAAAAACAGGAAGTGTCTTGGGAAGGGTGCTACCCCAGGCTCTGTGCCTGAGCAGAGGGGGACACAGGGGGGGTCCCAGGTAACCGGTTATATTCATTTACGTGCATCTAAGTCACCAAAACACAGTGGATTGTCTGCTGGGACTGGTACCAAATCCTGACCAAAGCCACACCTGTTCTCTGCGAGTAGACTTGTAAAAGTGGGATTTGGAGAGCCTGTGGTGGTAAATTGGGGATGGTGGGAAGACCTGGAGGGGATGAGAGAGAAGGACAGAGGCACAGTGTGTCTGAGCTGATGCAGGGGAGGGAAATTGAGACAGAGATAAGGATGGAGAGACAGAGCAAGTGAACTGAAAGACACTGGGGAGAGAGGCATCAGAGAGGCCAGGAAGAGATAGAAAGGCAAGGAGGGTCCATTGAAAATGGACATAGAGAGGCTGACCCCTGAGACTCTAAGGAAAGCAATAGATGGGGAAATGACTGATGGAGATGCAGAAAGATCCAGACCCAGCGATGGGGAGAGAAGCCTCTGAGACAGAAAGTGACAAAGAGTTGAAAAGACAGCAGGGAGAAGCAGAGGCTCTGGAGCAAGAGGGAAAGACCTCAACGTAGCAGACAGAGGCAGAGGCAAAGAGAGGAACACGGACAGAAACACACAGAAGCAAAAACAGAAAAGACCAAGAGATACACAGAGACTCAGAGCAGGGGCGGCCACACGCAGGTGGAGACGGACGCAGTGCCCCCTGCCTCGCCAGGGAGGTGATGGCCGACGTCGGGCAGATCTGAGAAATGTGGTGCCCGTGCCCTGCGGAGGGACAGACTGACAAAGCCAGGAGAAACTGGGCGGGGTCCGGGTGGGGTTGATGCCCGCAGGTCCAGGGCGGAGCGGGGAAAGGAGGGCGGGGCCGGCGGCGAGAAGGGGAAGGAAGCGGAGGTGCCGGGCGGGCGCGGGGCGCGGGCAGGAAGCAAGGAGGGGCGGCGGGGCTGGGGCCTCCGGAAAAACGCCCCAACTTCCTGCCCCGCCAGAGCCAGGAAGCGGGAGCCGGGACACCGGGCCCGGGATCGCCGAGCCCGACCTCGGGCGCCCCGCCGGTCACCACCCGCGCGGACACCAGGTACGCCGTCCCTGGCCCCGCCCGGCCTCCCTCCCCTCGGCTGCTAGGGGAAGTAGGGAGGAGGAGGGAGGGGGCTGGGCGCTGCCGGCCGTGGAGGGGCCTCCTACCGGCCGGGTTGAGCCAGCGGCCGCCCCTCCCTGGGCCTCAGTTTTTCCATCTGTCAAAGGGGACAAAGAGAGGAGAAGTAATACTTGCTGAGGGCCCGGTAGGTGAGATGAGGGCTGCAAGCCCGGGGTCAGAGCTTCCCAACTGTCCGGCGGAGGACTGATGATCACTCCCATTGCACGGGTGGGGATACTGAGACCCAGGGAGTAAAACCAACTCGTCCCAAGGCACGCACATCGTGAGACTGAGTGGAGCTGGGATTTGAACTCGCAGGTGGTTTTAGCCAAGCGCCGTCCTCCAAGTCCGCATACTTTAGAGCCACTCAAAAGGAAAAGTGGCAATAGGCCATAGGCTGTCTTGAAGCTGAAAGTTGCAGAACGCGTTTGAAAGCATTTTTTTGGAAAGGTCTTTTTCTGGGTTGGGTCAGGAATTATACCTTGGGAAATAGGTTGTAGGGGACAAAAACTGGAGATCGTTCCCCATTGTACTCATGGGAAGACTGAGGCCCGGGAAGAGGTATTTAGTTTTCTCCAGGTACCGCTGCATGTCAGATGGAAAGGATTTTGTTTGCAAAATCCAGGATTTTGTTTTGCAGCCCCAGCAGAAAGTGTGCGGGGGTGTCTGGGGGGACTGCAGGGAGAATTAATGTATAAGGTGTTGGGAATTCAAATGGTCCCACGTTAGGGCGGCGAGATAGGACAGGGACCCCAGTCTGGGGGGACGGCTAAGGGTCGGGGCGACTCGGATTGAACGAACACTGATCTGGGGGCTGGAACTATCCCCGCCTCCGGCCTGGGGGCGGGGGGCGGGGGGCGGGGCCCAGGAGAGTGACGGGGGCAGTCGAGACCCGGAAACGCCAGCCCTCCTAGACAGGCCAGAGCGGCCCTATCTGGCCTGCGTGGCTCAGCGGAGAGCTAGAGCGGCCGGCAAGGAGGAGTAGAGTTTTCTGGGCTGGAGCCCGGCAGGAGCAGGCTAGAACGGCTGGCGGGAGGAGTGGAGCTGGACGCAAAGGCCGACTCTGGGCTGGCTAGAGCGACTCCGAGTCGGGGGTGGGGGAGCCCGGAGCCGGCGCGCGGAGGCTTCGGTTCTGGCTGCTGCGGTGCTTCGCCTCCGACCTGGAGCAGGTGAGGGACGCGGCCCCCGCGGGCGTCAGACCCTGACTCCGCACGTCCTCCCCAGTATCCCTGACCATGCACGCTGCCAAGTCCCGTGTAGGATTTAGGGCCCGTGTACACCCGCCACGTCCTACATATGATTTGGGGCTTGTGTAGACCTGCCACGTTCCATATAGATCACTAGGTCCTACAGACGCTCTAAGGTTCCTGATTGCCCCGCGTGGAGGTGCAGCTCCTTACAGACTGGGGGTTTCGATACATCAGTAGCATCTGCTAGAATCCGGGGCCTTGTAGACTGTGGGTCTCGGGGACCACCAAACTCCCCTATAGAATTCTGTTCCCCTTTTAAATCTCCAGAGGTCCCACACACTGGCTTCTTTCCCTTATGGACTTAACGATCCTGTGGACCAAGGATCCTTGTAAACCACCATGTGTCAAACAGAACCTGGGGCCTTATGCATTCCAAGGACTAACCTTGACTACTCTGTGTTTTAGTTTCTTTAAGGCTCCCAGAGGTTCTTGGAGACCAGGGCCATCCACTCAATATCTTATAGACCCTGAACTGTGAGTCACTCAGTCGTGTCCGGCTCTTTTCTACCCCATGGACTGTACAGCCCGCCAGGCTTCTCTGTCCATGGAATTTTCCAGGCAAGAATACTGGAGTGGGTAGCTATTCCCTTCTCCAGGGGATTTTCCTGACCCAGGGATTGAACCCGGTCTCCTCCTTATTGCCGGCAGATTCTTTGTGGTCTAAGCCACCAGAAAGCCTGTTGTAGACCCTGAGCCCTGCATAATATGCAGGCACCCATGTAGTCCTTGCGCATGCCCACTTTGTTCTCAGACCCCCACGTTAAGGACCTTGTCAACCTGCCCTCATCTCCACAGCCCCATGCACACAGCACCCTCTCTGCTGGACATCAGGCCTTGTCAGTTGCCTTTAGATCCATCTGACCGCTTCCACCTATCACTCTAACTTTGCAGGACTCCTTCATGCCCCATCTTTTAAGGAGCCACCTTCCTCCCCAATCCTCTCTGAGCCCAGGCCTCTGTGGAGCAGCTGAGTCCAGTCTGAACTCTTGCCCAGATCACAGTGTCCACATACCCGGATACCATAGGGAGACCTCCTGTGTCTCAGCTTTGATTGAGATTTCAGTTTCCTAAGGTGGGGGTGCGGATTCCCTATGCTCTCAAAGCAGCACATTCTGGGAGTTAAATGCATAAACTCTGGAGCCGGTCTGCCTGGGTCAGAATCCTGGCAGTGCTTCTTATAAGCTGTGCCTCAGTTTCCTCCTCTGTAAAATGGGAATAACAGCAGTAATAAGAAAACTGCCCAGGGTCACTGAGAGGATTGAGTTTATACTTGTCAAGCACTAATACTGTACTTTATGGCACTTAGTGCATATTCCACATTAGCTATTATTTCCTATCATGGTGTTGAGGAATGAAGGAAGTAATACATATCAAGTGCATGTTCCGAGGCCTGCCTGGCACCTAAGCATTTGCTCAGATAAACCTGTGTCCTTGCCTTGGCCCTTTTGGAATCACCCCTGCCTCTGTCGAACTTTTTCCACCCACCCCTGAGTGGAATGAGTATGGACCCTCTGTGTCCATGGTCATGCCTTCCAGCCCAGAAGCTGCAGCTGGTGGCCTGGTGAAGGCTTTCTGTCTCGGATGGGAGTAATAACAGCACGGGGCTGCTTGTGGTCATGAGGCTTCAGTGAGTTACTCTGTGAGAAGCACTTAGAGCAGCGCCTAGCACACTGTAAGTGCAGTGTAAGTTCAGCTCTCATAATAAATAATTACTACTATTCTTCTGCCTTGGTTTGCAACTTTATTTATGTGAACATTTAACAATGCTCAGATCTGAAGTCACCCAAGCTTGGATGTTGGACAAACACACTTTATAGAAAAGAATCAAAATGAGGCCTGCTTGGGTGAGCCCATAGGATGGCACTTGGACACTCCAGAAGGCATCATTGTTTAATGATCAGAGTCAAAAGGCCGGCTGCCGTTTATTGAGTACTAGGGAGGAGGCCAGTGGAAGAGGAGAAGGATCAGACTCGGCGACTAGGGTTATAAATAGCTTTGGGCTGTGGGGAGAACCACCCCTCACCCTGGTGGTGCACCCCACCCGTTTCCACAGCTCCTTCCTGCCTGACACACGGGCTCAAGTGGC